GGTCGCGTCTGCTCCTCTGCAGGCCCCACGCTCACCACGAGGCTCGCGGCCGGCGGCGTGGGAGGGACGGTGCAGGGCAGCGTGGGACTGCAGGGGACAGCCTGGGACGTCAAGGGACAGCGTGGGGTAGCAAAGTACAGAGCAGGACAGTAAAAGGCAGCGTGGGACGTTGAGACGGTGCAGGGCGGTGCGGCCACTTTGCCGATGGCCTTTCATGGGAGACTTGAGAGAGGGTCTGCCCAGCCACTTCCCCTCCAACCCCAGGTTTGAAAATAGAGCCCAGGCCCTGGTGGCGGTTGACCAGGCCGGGGCAGCCCACCGGCTCCCAGAGGGAGCACTTCCACCCCCAGACTAGCCTCCTCTCGAGTTCCCAGTGCCGGGTGGACCCTCGCAGGGCGACAGCGTCTCATGGCCCGGGGGCAGCCAATGATGCCGCAGGACGAAACGCCAGTGAGCCCTCGGGAGGTTTCTCGGGGCGCCAGTGATGCAACTTAGGCTTATAGTTTAACCGTAAAATAAATAACACAAATGATAACAAACCAAGAGTAACTAAAGTAAGAAAGAAAGCAAACAGACAGAAACCCTCCAGTTTTAACTAGAACAAATTCCCTGAATGGTACTCCACTGAGTAGAGGCCGGAGACCTCCCGCTGACCTCTTCGGTCTCCGCGGAGCTCCTTCTCGCGTTTCGGCAATAACGCCCGATCGTCCTGCCTTTTAGCACCGCCTAATTGGGCTCCTTAACATATGGAATGGGAGAGTCCGACCTCATTATCGAGTTAATTATTAACCTTGCACTCCATGAAATGATTTGCCTTTTCTCTCCTATTATTTACTTACATTCTTTTAAATTTAATTCAAAGACCTAATTTCGAATTCAAGGCCTTAACCACACAGACACACACACAAAAATCTGAAGTAATATCCCTTTGCCTTCTTTCAGTTGCAAGATAAACGCATGTTTGGCCGAGATAACGTTCTCCTTTCTGACCAGCGGGCTCCTTCTCCACTAAGGGGCTTTGGGCCATTTTCATGCCTAGGCTACTTATCGACAATCCAGTAATTCCATCTTTTTGTTAACTTATCTTACTTATTGCTATTCATTTGGCATTATTTTAGGATGATGGAAATTAGTTGCAACTAATTGGTGGTTTTTCTTACCAAATTAACTAGGTTTTTTGATACACAGAAGATCCAGATTGTTCCCACCCCCCCCCAATTCCCCCTTTTTGGTGTCATTGATGTCGTCGGCTTACCCATATGCTCTTATCAGTGTAAAGAAAGGATCGGAGGGAAAACTCGCCAGAGGACATCTTTTCAGACCTCACAGTGCAGCATTTACTGAATGGGGACCTGGATGAGCTCAAGTTTCATCCAAAAGGAACACTACTTACACTACTCCGAGTTGCTACAATGCGGTGGTAATTTGCGCTGGCCTCATTGGCACGCTTTCACGTCTCTCTATTCATAAAACAGTGATAGTTACCAGAGCAACCATCACACACACCCCTTCTTTAGAGAAAGAAGGTCAGCAGGATACTCACTGTACGGTCGCGAGCTGTATGATGTGCTGATGTTTGGGTAAATTATCAAAAATCACAAAATCGCACGAGTAATATGTGATTCATTAGATTTTTTTTCTTCTGCTCTGTTTTCAACTTGCAAACTGAACATGATTTATTCATTTGGGGAGAAAAGCTGATAGCTTACTGAATTTCGCTTACCATTATGTTCATGGCATCCGGTTCTCTCAGCGGTGAATGAATTACACGAGGACGCTTACACCCTACAAATCTTTGATCTAATAGCTTACTACGGATATTTTGTAACATAATTGACATGACGATAATAGAATATTTCGGGAAGAGTTTAAAAGGAAAATGTCGAGTAATTTGAAATAATATTAACGTATCGCATTTATCAAGGGATCGTGCATTGACTTTTAAGATTAGAATACTAGCCTAGAGGTTTAAGGGGAAAAATGTTCTCTCTGTACTGCACCTAACTTGTTTTAAATTGTTTCCAGTGAGAAAGAATTTTAAGGTCAGACAAGTTTTTGTTTTACACGTAGTCCATTTCATTTTCAGGCCACTTCCCAAGGAATGTATATCAGCCAATTGTTTTTAATATCAAAAAATTCTAAACATCGAAAAGGTTAGACTTACATCACATTGACCCAAATTGTCACTTTGCAGTTGTCCTTCTTTCAGTGTAAGAAGAAGCTGTTCTTGGAGTGAGAACAAGGGGTGGTTCTGGCTCAGAAACCTCAGCATCACAGACTCTTGCTTTCCTGAGGACATTGCTCCTTTCTGTCCTCTCCAGTTCCCACCCCACAAGTCGTGAGGAGGCACAAATATGCTGGACGGGGCCCTGTCGATCCTTCGGAATCTGCGTTTTGATATTATTTAAATCCCACAGGAGTGTATACATTTTGGTGTTTCTTTTTCTTGAAAGTAAATATTTTTGTGTTCCTCCTTGTAAGCAAGGAAATATTTTAAAGCGGGACACTTTCTGCATTGTCCCTAGCCCTAGAGCCTTTGTTTTTTGTTCATTCCTTCTATAAATGTAACTCTGTGCTTTTTGCGTTACTAATTTATAAATCAGTATGCGGTAAGAAAATGGTGACAATGGGAGAATTGCATTTCTTACAGGTCGATTTGTTTAGTATGCCACTTTACGTTTTGGAGACATCTGGGCACAGATACATATCTTTAAATACGTATCTTTACATACACAAAGTAAACTTTGTGATCACTTTAAGACACGCATGCTGATAAAAGCCGAGGTTCTTCCATGAGAAATGCCTCATCACAATAGAAGTCTCCATTGAGCTTTCAACTTTAGCAGCCATTTGAAAAGGTGCACAAAAAAAGATTCCTTTACAGTTTCCATTTTCCCCTTATGTAATTAGGGCTGTTACTCCTCCTTCCTAGCTTTACCCCTAAAAAAAAAAAAAGAAAAAAAAAGAAAAGAAATATATACAATGTACTCAGCCTCAGAAGACTGAGCAGGCTGGTTTTAATTTATCGGTCTACTATTTTAAGTGTTGGCTTAACTACTTTTTCTTAGTATGAGTTTTAGAGGGGCTATTTGTAGAGTCGTTTATTTTTAATTGAGCCACTTTTCATTTACCTAATGCTCTCTTAAAGCACATCTGATACTCTTGGTGGTTATTGTGTTTTTGATTCTATGCAGTTTCTAGAACTTATAACTGTTAGAATATTTTTTTAGCGTCCTACAGATACTTTAAGACCAATTTTTTTTTCAAATTTCTTTTGAACGTTAATCTGATTTTATCTTCCAATGTTAACATTACGTTTTCTCCCAAGTAAATGCTGTATTTCCTATGAGCTGGCCAGTAGGGTGTGCTCTAGTCCCTTGCCAAATAAATAAATAAATAAATAATAACGTAACTCGTTAAGAGATTTCAGAAATATATTTGACTCTTTTACTGCCACCAATGCAGATGAGATATGTTAGGATAGACACAAACAAATGGTCCAGCATATACAACATGGATGGAAAGTAAAATTGTTATATTAAAAAAAAAGAGGAAGCTTTGAGAGATTTACCTCTCTGAATTTAGCTCTAAAATAATTTGGTATGATTTTACCCAACTGATCCCTTGGTAACAGATACTTTCTTTCTTTCTGGATAAAAGAAGAAGACAAGAAGCATAGAAATGAGAGCCTAGGTTCCGGAATTGGAGGTTTGGGATGAATCCCACCGCATTGGCAGTGTGACTTGGAGAAGTGACTTGACCTCTTGTAACATGAGGATAATAATGGTTTTT